AGAAGTTACTTACCTTGCCTAACTAGAAGTCACTTAAGGTAGCGAGTGGCTGAGGATTCAAATGCCTGTCTGTTGATGGTGGTAGAAGAAGTGGAATACAGTCAGCTTGGATTGAAAGAGGATAGTGAAGCGAGAGACAGAAGTCTGGGATATAGCTGTGAATGCTTACTTCAGAAAGAGTGCAGACAAATGAATAACGCAAAATTTATTCTTATGGGCACACTGATGCTGAGAAAAACAAATGTACTGTCGAACATTTAAAGAGAATGGGGGAGGATCTCTTGGATTTTTTTTTTTAGTAGACACTGACCAGAGATATGGAGTGAATAATGTGTCAGTCGGAAATGAAGTGAGGTTAGAAATAGACTATGTATTTCTTTACCTTCTAAATGAGTTGGTTGATTAGAGCCTGATTTAAAAAAACAAAAACAAAATCAACATTCTTGAAGGTCCCTTGCACTGTACAAGTTCCCTTTACTAGCAAAGAGTTTTTTTGTTTTGTTTTGTTGTTTTTTCAGAGTTTGAGATTGTAGGAGCAAAGTGGAAAACCAAGAAAAGAGGTTAAAGCTGTAGTCAGTGCAGGTTGAAAGCAAAGGCAGTGTCGAAGTGCCCATCCAGCAGGAAATTTTGTCCATGAATACTCTCTTATTGATGACTATCAAGCTACTAAGAAAACAGGATGAGTTGGATTAGACAAATAATAAAATAATTAACGTTGAGGAGTTTCTTTCCCCCTCTAATTACCTTGTAAAGGAATTAGCTGTTGAAAGTTAAGGGTTTTGTAACTTAGTCACTGAACAACATAATTTTTTCTTAAATTACTGATTTTAAAAATTGGGCCCTCAAACTAAATATAGTAACAAACTGTGTTTTCCATGGCATCTCACTATTAGAGGCATGTGGACTCTTAGAGCTTGTAGGGACTTTAGAAATGGTCTAGTCTCACCTCTTATTTTGAACAGAAGAAAAACAAGGCCCAAAGATATTCAAGCTTAGCAAGAGATGCTGATTGAATAAACCAACAAGTAAGTTCTGGAACCTCATCTTTGCATGGCCTATCTGGTCATTTTTCCATCATACCATCTCTCTGAATATAAGTGATGTTTGCACATACTCTCAAAAAACAGTTATCAGTGGAGAATTTAATAACATAAAATGTTTATATCAATTCAATTCTAATTAATCTAATAGATCCTCTAAAGATAGGCATATATCTTAAATGCTTATTACATTTCAAGAAGAAACAAAACTAGATATTAATATGAATTATCCATTCTGTAGGTAGAACGAAAAGAGCATTTAATGTGATTGCTAGAACTTGTATTCCCTTAGGACAACCTTCTCTAGGTGTCTTTAAGGGTTACCTACAATCTGTTTTAAAAGAGAGGGGAAAAGCAACTTTTTTAAAGAACAGAATGAAGGCAGTATTCTTGCTTATCAGAGAAAAGTTCTAATGGAATCACTGAAATAGGTAGCCAAAAGTAGGGTTAGAGGTGTATGGTTTAGGCAGGGTTTTGTTTACAATTTCAGTGTCCACAGCTGGTCAGTGCTATGGGCTCATCTTCAGGGGCTCTTGAGAAATCCCCATGAAGACAGCTGATAACATGAGGTGTATAACAGAACAGGAGGACAGGTTAGGGAAAAGCTTCTTAAGTGCTGTCTGCATGCACACATTACAACGATAGATTAGGTGTTGATAGAGGGGCAGAAGAGTTCCCACAGAAAGTCTAGAGAGAGGGTTCAGAGGTAGCCTGGGTAAGACATCAGGCCTTAGAATAATATTCAGAAATGTTGAATGTAGCAAAAGTAGCACTAAGGGTTTAGGGAGACGTGAACTCATTTTTGGCCGCTAACCATGTTTGAGTCTCTTATAGTGAAGTGGTGAAGAGTGAAAAGCCAGCTTTGCACTCAATGTGTATTGCTTGTGGTTAACCTGAGATCTAATCTTAGGAAAGAGGTTGCCATGATTCTTTCCCACTGCCTCTGAATTTCCAGCAGGATGACCTTTAGCAACACATCTGTCCTCCCTTTACTTCTGTTTCCTCTTTGGTAAAATGAGTATAATGACAGCATCTACCTCACAGGATAGATTAAATGAAGAGCGCAGTGAGTAGAGCAGTGTTTGATGCATGGTAAGCTCTGTATGTGCTGGATATTACAGTTGCTTCTATTACAACTACAGTAGTACAGTTTATACAAGCTTGTGTTTCCACTTGTTTCTCTAGAACAAGTAAATAGAACCAAGACAGATGACTCAAAGAATAATACGTGTTTGAGGTTAGTAATACAGAGGACCCACCCTTCCAGGAATATTATACATGTTACCCTTCCATCAGCGATCTCTTTCATGGACTTTTTAGGAGGAAGTCTCCCCCTTGGCAAGTCTCTGTGTCCAGTGCTCTTTCGGGGACCTTGGAGAACAGTTGTGTTCAGATCCTCTGGCCTGTGTCTGTGTATCACTGCAGACTTCAGAAGCCACACAAAGGAGGGGGAGATTTGGTTCACAGGGATGAGCTTCTCTTGGCTACTGTAGCACACATCTGTATAGAAGGACCAGGGAAATGCACTGCTAAAATGAAGAACTCTGAGGATTACCTCCCGCCCTCAGGGATATAGTGAAAACACTTAGTATTTTTACGAGAAGCTTTCACATATGTTAGCTCATTTGATTTTCTCAGCACTGGGGGGCATGTAAAATAAAAATGAAGCTTTCTTCCCCTTATTTTGACTGCAGTATCTAGATCTACTCTTAATCTGTTTACATTATTTTAAAAGCATTTTCAGAGTGTAGAGATTTCTCTCTGTATACTAATCTTAAGCTTCTAAAATGATCTCTTTTCAGTAACCAGGACTTAATAGCTTACAGCAGGCTCTCATGGGACCCCAGACATGGGATGTGATTTTGTCGTAATTTTGGAAATTTGCCCTAGATTGAGGGACTAGAAAGATCTGGCACCTTCTATTTCATTTTATAGGTTCAAATACCATTGAATATCACTGTGGGTTTTGGCTTGCTGAAAACATTGGTAACAAAGGGGTTTTGCAAACTTTAATACTCCATTTTAATAGGAGAGAAGTGTTCAGCATTTACACTACCATTGTAGCTATTTTATTAACAGGTTAAATAATAATCAGGGGCTGTTCTAAAAACTCATCAGATTTCCTAAGCTTTTTAAAGCCATGGAAGTGTAATCCAGTCCAACTTCAAAGCTGCTGCTATAGCCTTTGTCCCCATCATCTGGGATCTTCCGTCTCCAGATGAAATGCATGCAACTCCCTGAGTTCAGATATCAGTTACTGCCAGCTTTCAAGGCACTGTAGGCAACAGTTACTTTGCCCCCTTTTCGTGACTACTTAAAGAATAGTTTTGAAATTGTTTCTTTTATCTCACTAGAGTAGACCTGCCTAGAAAGATTTGTTTAGAGAAAGTTTGTTTCTCTTCTTTTAGGTAAAGTGTAGGACTGAAATTAATAGCCCTACCTTGAAGCCGGTATCCCAAGGATGGGGATCCTGACACAGTAAATAGGTAGTAACTACTTCATTGTCCGGTAGCAGCTCCGTGTACCTGGCCCAGCTCTTCTCCAAGGGGACAGGAGATGCCGATTATACTAAGGTGTTCTCTGAATGTGAAGCTAGAGAAGAGCTGAAATTTTCCCCTTCAAGTTTCTTTGGTCACACAAATGACTTGGAGCCACACAGGTTTGCAAACATGCATGGAAATCTCCCACCACAATTCCATCTTCAAGTGGACTCAATGCTCCAGTGGAGCAGAGGCCACAGCCACCTGATTTTGGGGGGAGGTGTGAGCTTAGGCTGACACAGAGCGCCCGTCCACAGAAGCCCTGGGGGCTCTGGTGCTGGCTTCAAGTCACCCTGGTTTGTAAGATGCAGGATTCACTGGAGCGGTTTAGGAATGGGTCCCTGAATTCCTTGGGTTTCAGTTCTCTTCAGTTCAGATATATTACATTTTCTCAAACTCACAAGCTGTCATGGCATGAGGGCTGGACTTGGGACTAATGTATGTTCATTCTGTTACCTTCCATCCAATGTCGGGCTTTATTTTACCTCCTCATCTGAAGCAGTATCATCTACTTTCGGTCACATCAAATGAGACCTTTCTTCAAAATTTTTACTGTCTGCTGGAGTCTGAACAAACTAATGGAAAAAAGTCCAGTTCACAATTGGCCAAGTCCAGTGGTCATTTTTAAATTTATTTATTTATTTTTGGCTGCATTGGGTCTTCGTTGCTGTGCACGGGCTTTCTCTAGTTGTGGCGAGCGGGGGCAACTCTTCGTTGTGGTGCATAGGCTTCTCATTGTGGTGGCTTCTCTTATTGCGGAGCACAGGCTCTAGGCGCGCGGGCTTCAGTAGTTATAGCACGCTGGCTCAGTAGTTGTGGCTCGCGGGCTCTAGAGTGCAGGCACACGGGCTTAGTTGCTCTGCAGCATGTGGGATCTTCCCGGACCAGGGCTCGAACCCGTGTCCCCTGCATTGGTGGGCGGATTCTTAACCACTGCGCCGCCAGGGAATCCCCCTGTGGTCTTGGTTAAAGGCAGCTTTCCCTCTTTTGTGGACTTCATCCAGATGTGTAGTGCAGCAATACCGTCCTCAGTGCAACACAGGACCTAGAGATCCTTTGTCCTTGTAACAAACACAGAGCCCTTCCCAATGTTATTGCGCCCCTGAAGGAAAACAGCATCATACCATGTATGGCTAAGTTCCCATGTCAACTCCCCTTGAACGCTGGTTCAGAAAATGTCCCCTTTGTCACAACTAATTCTGACTTCAGCACTCTCTGTGGAAATTGGATCAGGAAGACCACCCTGATCAAGGGGACAGTCTGATGATTTAAAGCTAACATTAAAAGACAAATATCTTGTATCTCAGTGTCTTCTAATGGTTTGTGTGGGCCATTGTCTAGAGGCTCTGGAAGTCAGATGTGCTTGTGGCTGTTGTGTATATACATCTGGTGGTATATCACTTTTTTTTTTTTTCTTTAGGACCAGGAAGAAAACAAGGGAGCAACAAGTTGGCCTGAATTCTACATTGATCAGCTCAATTCCATGGCTGCTGTAGGTATCCTTTCTGTTCTTCAACTCACAGTTTAAAATGCAAGTTTAGTACAAAGCGCACAGTTGCACAATAAGTATTCACTTGAGTAAGAACTACCAAATGTCATTATCTTTCCAAACTCTATTCCAAACGCTCAGTGTTGGGGAGAAAGGGGAGGCAGGAGTGGTATTTGGCAAAATGATTTTTTTCCAGTATGTTTTAAATAAAATCGGCACATACTAAAATATAAGTGAGTTTAATGTTATTAGAGGAAATGTAATCATAAATCTGGCCTCTGTTCAACTTTAACTTGCAATTGTTCCTACCAATCATTTGGAACTTTGATAGGGCAGCACCATTCTAAAAGTTAATACCATTTAAGAATAGTACAATGAAACTATCCCTTCACTGTTCTCATCCTTCTTTTTTTTTTTTTTTTTTTTTAAACGGAGGACTTAGTTCCTGGTTTCTTGATCTTACAGGGTACGAAGGTACTCTTTTACTCGTACAAATAAGAAAAAATTTCATGGAATACGTGGTTTAATGGAAAGGCGTAATAATGAAAATGCTGAGATATCCTTGGGAAATCTTCAGTATGTGGATTTTTAGTTCAGTAATTGATGAAAATGCATTCTCAATGTCTAAAATAATGCATTCTGATCACATAGATGTCTCTGTGATGTCAGAGTTTTGAGCTGCTTGAGGGGCATCTGTCGATCCAGCAAAAATACACAGCAGAAAACATGTCATCAACATTTGAGCCTTAATAGCCTAAATCTTGTTCACATTGATAAAAATTGGAGGCTGCTCACAGGAGAGCAGTCTTTGCCTCTGTGGACACACTTAGGATTTTAACAGTTAATCTGTTAGGCTCAACTTTGAGTTTGTTATATTCAAGCAGATGATAGCTTCCATAATACTTTCTCTACCTCTCCTTTTCCTGCCATCCACAGAGCCCTTGTGGAGAATTCATTTCTTATCACTTAGAACAAACATTCTAGATTGTCTAATATTTTGCTGCTGCAACAGTTAAAAACTGACTACTATATGTGAATCATTCACACTTTTGCTAAATTTTCAGAGGCCTTGACTTTTAGTAACTTCCTCTTTTCTAGCTTTTTCTTTGAAGATGCTTCTTCTGCTGTCACATGATGAATAATAAGCACCATGGTAAACAGGGCTGTATAAATTATAGAAGAAACTGCATAAGCTTTTGCCCCAAGGGTTTCTCTAAAAGCACAGCAGAAAAGAACAGAAAATAACCACCAAATCCTTATAACAAGCATTCTACACAACAGCAAAGATGAGAAAAGAGTGATCTCAGCATTTGTATGAATATGTTATCAGAACGTGAGTCTTTTGATAACCATCAGGGATTTTTCTACATCCGCCGAAGCAATTATAATATAGTCATTTACAATTCCTGCACATAAAGGTTATTTTCTGAATTTTTAAAAAAATTTTATTTATTTTTGGCTGTGTTGGGTCTTCATTGCTGCGCGCCGGCTTTCTCTAGTTGTGGTGAGCGGGGGCTACTCTTCGTTGTGGTGCGTGGGCTTCTCATTGTGGTGGCTTCTCTTGTTGCAGAGCACGGGCTCTAGGCATGCAGGCTTCAGCAGTTGTGGAGCGCAGGCTTCAGTAGTTGTGGCTTGCGGGCTCTAGAGCGCAGGCTCAATAGTTGTGGCGCACAGGCTTAGTTACTCCGCGGCACGTGGGATCTTCCCAGACCAGGGATCAAACCCATGTCCCCTGCATTGGCAGGCGGATTCTTAACCACTGCGCCACCGGGGAAGTCCCTATTTTCTGAATTCTTGTTCTTGGCTGTTAGGGTAAAAACAAGCGGCCAGGCAGGCTGTCTCTCTTTCTAATTAAGTCAGCCTTATTTGATGTCTAACAAGGGAAGTTGCTCCTTTGTTAATGAATTCACTTCTATCAGTGGAGAAGTACTAAATAATGGATTTTTCCTTTCTTCAAATTTTGGGACAGTTAGGTTAATTTGTCCTTTAGTGACTTACTCCATGCCTTTTCCGGAGTCAGCCTGACTCGTTTCCTGCACTAGAGGGTGCGTGACGTGCTGGTATGTGGCACTTCTTCAAGAGCCTCCCTTCTCCTTCATCTAGCTCCTTGGACAACCTTTTGCTACATTCATGAGTCATCTACATTTTAATTATATTTGCTTCCTAATCGAAAGCCCTCTCTAAGAGTATCATTTCCAGGCTCTTAAATTGTCACTTTGCTCTACTTTATGGGTTAAACACCTCACAGAGCTTTCTAATGCTCCTTGAAGGACAGAACCAGCATCGTTCCAGGGTTAAGGGTAGAAGCCATTACAACAGGTGATGAAATAATGAGGCCTCACCACTCCTGCATCTTTAAAGGAGCAAGGAGGCCTGATGAGACCAGAAACTCTATGCTGAGTTTTCTGGTTTTTTCACCCTCTCTGTGGCCACCACATCCTCCCATAGTTCTAGCCAGTCTCTCTGGAGAATTCCTGACAGCACACAGTAGAAATCCTAAGACTGGGGACTGGGAAGGCACATGATTCCTCCAAATCCTTTCCTGGCCTGGCAGCTAAGCTCTTTGGCTGTCTGCTTTGGGAATTGTCGAAGGAGGGTTTATCCACATTTTCATCATCCACTGTCTTCAGCATCAGTAGCGGGTACTGCTGTCGAGTGTGCCTCACGTAACAGGCACTTTACATGCTGTTTTAAATCCTTAACAAGCACCCTGTCCTCTAAGTGCTATTTATAGATAAGGAGTCTGAGACTCAGAGAAAGGTTACCTTGCCCAAGGTCATCTCATTTGGAAGTGGAAGAGCTGGAATTTAAACCTATCAGTCTAAGCTCAAAGACTCCTTTCCAGTTTGCCTCTCACTAACTCAGTTTTTTAAATCCTTTGGCACGTGAAAGAGGCCTGGTAATTTCACCCACCCCCCCAGCCCCAGTCTCCACCCCCAGCTTTTCTGAGGTGGGACAAGCATCTGGAGAGTCTGATAAGCAGTCCAGGTTGAGAACCGCAGCGCTTACTGGTCTGTGAAGCCCTTGGTGGAACAAGTTCAGTTACTTTACGGAAGCTTCGTAACAAGAATGCTTTGTTCTTTAAAGGACCCCTGAGTGATCTGCTGGCTTTTAAAGAGTGAAAAACAATATAATAAAAGAGTGCGTGTTCCAGAGGGACCTGGGCTTTCTTGGTGTGTGGCTTCTGCGTGCAGTCTCAGGGAGCAAGGATGTGAGGTGAAGTTCAGTGTGCTTAGCGGGTTGGCTTATTGATTTCACACCAATGAGATATTTCAAACAGGAGCTTAGTTCCAGACTCCATACCAGGAATGATTTCTGTGCCTGGTTTGCGCATCTCTCTCGGCCCTGCATGTTCCAGTGTAAACCTTAGCAGCTTTGACTGGAAGATCCTCTGCCAGGATGCACTTCGTCTTTTGCCCACTCCTCATGTGAACAGGGATTTAGTAAGTGCATAGAGCACCCAAGGAGGCCGCCACAAGCCAGTCCAGTGTATGGCAAGGTACATACTGGATGTTTGGCCTAGCAGCCATCTTCAGAAATGTAGGCAGATCCCCTTTTCTGTCGAAAAGCTGCAAATTTAGACTTCTCCATAAATGTGAAGCTTGAAAACTTGAGCCTCCACATAAATTATTTTATTTCGAAAAGTCACATTAGAATGTCAGGTTCATCTCCATAACCTCGACTTTCTCAATACAATAAACAATCTTAGATTCAATTCTCATTGTACTACACACAGAAAAGAGTATACTGTCTTCTGTTTTGAGAGGAAAGTAATAGTCCTTATATTGGGGAAGGAAATTCCAATTTAAATTTCTTGACTTTTCATAAATCTCCTAACTCTGCTAGGAAGAATCCTAATGTAGTCTGCCTTTATTTGGAGGTTACACCCTCTCCAAGATTGTTAAAAGGATAAATATATGCATCTTTATTTAGTATTAATGAACCACAATAAGAAACGTGGGTAGTTTTAATTTGGGAGGTTTGGGTGACTAAGCTTAGGAACAAGAAGTGATGTTCATAAAAGTCTTGATTCTGGGCTGCAGATTCAAAGTGATTGCTTAAGAGTCTGAACAAGTTCAGCTGTGCCACAGGAGATTAAATGTACTTGGCTGGATTTGTGCTCAATTTTCCAGGATATGGGTCTCACGGAGCGGTGAAGAAATTCATTGGCTATTTCTGCATGCAGCCTCTTCCCCTACCATCCTCTGGTGACAGCTGTCCGGGCGCATCACCAGCAAGAGGGCAGCTTTAGCAGAAACAATTCAAGTTTACAAAACAAGATTTTACTGATTTTTATTTCACTTGCCATAAATGATACTGATATATGTTTGCTTTGGGCTTCACCATCCTAAGTGTGAAGTCAAATTTAGGTTTTAGTTAGCGTTTAGTTACTTAATGCTTGTACTGTTAACGTGAAAAAAATTAAGTAAAGTCACCCCTTGATGATGTGTGGACCTGACAGAAAGGGAGAGACTGGACCATTGAGGCACGTGGATAAGAGCCAGATGTTTTTTTCTGTACCCCAATCTGTTTCCCAACCATGCATTTTATCAGAATGGGTAACAAGTAAAAAGACTGAGACTGGACAAGCACATGTTAAGAGTAGGAGGAAGGCAAGGGACCTGTGGTTCCGTGGGGTAGAAACACCTGGGGCCATAAGACTTGGCGATACTTTTAGTACATTTAGGTGCTCATGGCATAAAAGGAATGGAAAAGACTTTTTAACAAGTCTATGACCTTAAATCATTTCTAAAACTTAAGCATTTACTCCAAAGGAATTGTCTGTCTTTGTATCAGGTCCAATTTAATCGTTCCTCTTAAAAAATAATTGGATGTAACAGAAAATGTAAAAAAATTACACTTTTTTTTTTTTTAAGATTACACTTTTTGACTGAGAAATGGAAGAGATAGCATGGAAAGATTGCTGCCTGCCTCTCTTTGATAGTGTGATAATGTTTACTTTAATTGTCAGATTGTTATATTTAACTATAGGTCTAATCTTTCCTTTTCTATCAAATAAATAGTAATATCTTCATCAGAGTGTAGTTATAGAATAGTTACACAAGTGTTTGGACAACTTAATCTCTACTAAGATTTCTCAACATTTTCTTAAAACTTTATTTAAATTCAAAAGAAGTAACTTGTAGTACAGAGAATGAATTTGTGGAATTCTTGGTGCTTTTGGTCTACGTTTTGGCTTGTAGTAAATCTTGGTCATATTATTATTGATTATTTGTATTAAAAGTGATAGCATGTAATCTGTGGGCTTGTCTTACTTGTACTATAATTAAAACAAAAATTGAAGAAGTAACTTTAGTTTTCTTTGCATAGAGAAAATCTCTGCTGGCTTTAGAGAAAGAAGAGGAAGAAGAGAGAAGTAAAACTATAGAGAGTTTGAAGACAGCACTAAGGACGAAACCAATGAGGTAATTTTTATACTGGGTAGCGTGTACTACTTGTCTCTTTTCTTTTTCTGCTTTTCTACTTTCTTCTTCCCTTGTTTTTCCCCTTCCTTTCTTCTTTATTTTTCTGCAATAGCCAAACTCTTGAGGAAGTCTTAAATTAAAAACATGTAATTGAACAGTGGATGAAATACTTTAACCATTGATCATTCAATAAATTGTTTCTCTTCGGTTAAAAGATATGCAGACATCCATGAAGGTGGCTAAAATACAAAAAGGCAGAAACTAATAAGTGTTGGTGCAGATGTGGAGAGATTGTAACCCTCATTCATTGCTGGGGGGAATGTAAAATGGTGCAACCATTTTGGAAAACAGTTGGACATTTCCGCAGAATATTAAACATAGTGTTGCCATATGACCCGACAATTCTACTTCTCGATATATAGCCCAAGGGAAATGAAAACATGTCCCTAAAACCTTGTGTGCGAATATTAGCATTATTTATAATAGCCAGAAATTGGAAACACCTAAATTCTATCAACTGATGAACTGATAAATAAAATGTGACATATCCATAAGACAGAATATTTTTCAACCCTAAAAAGGAATGGAGTACTGATACATGCTACAACATGGATGAGCCTTGAAAATATTTATGCAAAGCGAAAGAAGCCAGACACGAGGGACCACGTATTGTATGATTCCATTTATATGAAATATCCAGAAAAGGCCAATCCATAGAGACAGAAAGATAAAGTGGTTGTCTGGGGTTAGGGAGAGAGGAAAATGGTCTTTTGGGGATAATTAAAATGTTCTAAAATCAGATAGTGACCATGGTTGCACAACTCTGTGAATATATTAAAAATCACTGAATTACACGTTTGAAAGTATGAATTTTATGGCATGTGAGTTATATCTCAATAAGACGGTTGTAAAAGAAATGGATGAGCAATCAGCTTCTACTGTGTGCCTACCACACGTCCATTTTCCATTAATCCTCTAAGGTTTGGTGGGATATGGGGGTGCTTACAGGTGCATGTCATCAGCACTAGTGCTACGAATGAAGCTTGGCTAGGTCTGGGTGATGTGGTTGGATGAAATAGCTGAGAAATAAAATTCCCTATATTTGACTATAAAATGCTAGGAAAAAATGTACTGATTCCTCAAAAATCATATACAGTAGTATATCAAAAGTTTTCTAGTCTATCCTAACAAGATCAGTGTTTCCCTCTGTATGTGTGTTCTGCATTCTCAGATGTTAATGGTTATCCAAGGCTAAATAAGTTTGGAAATTTCTGGAGTGGTCACATCAACAGGTTATGTTACTTTTGAACTTTTCAGAGGCTTAACCTACAGATGTGTATTGTGAATTATTCTCATTGATTGACTTTACAGTTAAATAAGTGCTGTAAATATCCAAAAAATTAATGTACAGTAATAAAGTATTGCTTTTATTTGTTTTATATATTGGGATTCCATATAGCATGCCATACAAAAGAAGGTTTTTGCTATAAAACTAAGGAGATAGATTATCATTTGTTTGGCAAGTAAATATCCTGGAGTTTAAGGATGGTCTTTGACTTTTCATTGGTATGGGGTGTGCCTGGGTCAGTGGTCAACACTTAAACATGCATGGGGACTGGATGCTATCATAACACAGGATCAGCAGATGACTTTAACCTAAGGTGAATATTCTGAATGTCTTCTTGTTCCTGGTTTTCTGTGGTTATAAGATCTGTTAATTGGTTATTCATATCGGTTAAGATCTTTTTAACTCAAATGGAGATTTTTTTCACACTTCTGGTTAGACCTGACCATTGGGTCTGGGCCAAGGAGGAGGCCTCCAATTAAGAAGACTTCGTGTAAGCCTTTGGGTACTTTAGGAACTACATCTTCTTACTTTCTCCTGCCCACCAGCCCCCTAAACTTTTCTGTTAAGGGCTATTAAAATATTCCAAAAAGACTTAAGTCTGATACATTTTAACCTTCTCCTCGTGACAGGTTTGTAACCCGATTCATTGACTTGGACGGCCTGTCATGTATTCTCAACTTTCTAAAGACCATGGACTACGAGACCTCGGAGTCTCGAATACATACCTCTCTCATTGGATGTATAAAGGCACTAATGAACAACTCTCAAGGCCGGGCTCACGTCCTGGCTCATTCTGAGAGTATTAATGTAATTGCTCAGAGTCTGAGCACAGAGAACATTAAGACGAAGGTGGCCGTGCTGGAAATCTTGGGCGCTGTGTGCCTGGTTCCCGGGGGCCACAAGAAGGTCCTGCAGGCCATGCTGCACTACCAGAAGTACGCCAGCGAGAGAACCCGCTTTCAGGTGGGTGCTTCCTCGCCACTTCTTCATTCCTGCCTTCAGACCAGTGCCTTTCCTGGCCCCGAAGGGGGAATGTTAACTTGAGATTTTCCCCTGTGGTGAGCATTCACGATGGGACTTCAAGCATTTCCTTCTTCTTAGGTAGAGAGTAGAATGTTCTTTCTGTAGTTGATCAATCTGGGGTTGTGGATTTACAGTAGTCCCCCCCCCCCCCCCCCCCC